AAGAATAGCTACACAAGTTATCTCTTCTCTAGTATCAGTCTGCTAAATGGACATAATAATAAAACTGATTCCTAATGACTATGGTCATACCCATATGTAAAGACATGGCTCATCCCTCCTCTGAGACATTTCCATTTGCAGTAGACTAACACAAAGACCCACAACTGGTCATTGTGAAGAAAATAAAAGACACCAAAGTGCTTAGCTCTTAATGAGACCTCTACTTAATACCTGCTCAGCCATCCCAGTCTCAGGGAGACTGGAGAATGCTGGAGAAGGGATAGAAAGACTGTAATAGCCAGAGACACTGGTTGACTATAGGGAAATAATGTCTTCTGGACACAGCAGGCAGCACATGTGAACTCAGAGCAGCTGTGACAGCATGCATAAGACCCGTGCAAGCATAGGCTAGACCAAATCTCAGCGTGGAGATGGAAGGTGGGCATGAAGTCTTATCCCTGGCTAAGAGGGTCCTGACAGCTGACAGCTACTGGGGGATGGAGAAGAAGAGGGATGGGAGAAGGGAGGGGAGAGGGAGGGGGGAGGGAGAGGAAGAACATAGTCCTTGGTAAGTTGACCATGCTCCAGTAAAAGGACACAGGGCCAAGAATGTATAGGTATCATAAATTGGTTTTGATTTGTTTAATTTCTTGTTTTAGAATTAAAAATAAAGAGAGAAGTAAGTAGGGTGTGTAAGGAAGAGGGTAGATCTGGGAGGACTTGGGGGAAAAGATGAATATAATCAAACACATTATGATGGCTGGTTTTTATGTCAACTTGACACAGACTAGAGCCATTTGAAAGGAGGGAACCTCAGTTGAGAAAACAGCTCCATAAGATTAGGCTGTAGGAAAGCCTGTTGGGCATTTTTAAAACTAATGTTCCCATCCCATTGTTGGTGGTTCCATCTCTGGGCTGGTGGTCCTGGGTTCTAGAAGAAAGCAGGCTGAGCAAGCCATGAGGAGCAAGCAGTACCCATCAGTAGCATCTATATAGGCTGCTGCCTTTGGGTTCCTGTCCTGTTTATTTCCTGTCCCAACTGCCTTTGGTGATGAACAGTGACATGGGAGTATAAGTCAAATAAACCCTTTGCTTCCTAAGTTGCTTTGGTCATGGTGTTTCATTACAGCAATAGAAATCCTAAGACATACATTGCAAAATAGTCTCAAAGAGCTGATAATTACAAAAAGGAAGAAGGAAAGAAAGAAAAAAGAAGAAAGAAAGAAAGAAAGAAAGAAAGAAAGAAAGAAAGAAAGAAGGAGGGAGGGAGGGAGAGGGGAAGGAGAGGAGAGGAGAGGAGAGAGAGAAAGAGAGAGAGAGAAAGAGAGAGAGGGGGGGGGGCTGGCACATTTGAACAAAGCAGGGCTGGCACACAGGAAGGCATGACACCCTGTGGGAATTTTGAGAATGGCCTCTTTGGACACAGTCCGTCTGTCAGGCGTGAGTTCCAGCCCTGCCCGGATTCTGTGAGACCAACATTTCTTTGTATCTCAGCTTCCTTACTTGTAAGGTAAAATCAGTTACTGAGCTGTTGACGACCACAACACAAAGCTGGATAATTAAGTCAACACTCAAGAAAATGGCATCATCTCTCATTTGTGTGGTCAATTTCAGCTGCTCAATCCAGCCATGCTGGAAGTCAGCAGAACTTGTTCCGCTAACTCTCCTTGTCCACAAGTTTGCCTGAAGCAGGCTTGTGTGACTCACTGCTTAAAGAATTCATTGTGCTACAGCAGCGTATGTAACCCAGAGCTAAGCTGGCCTCATCCCTGTCTACTGGAGAGAGGCAATGGGAGGTGGGCTGTGGGAAGCCTTGGCATACAGCAAGGGAAGACTTGACTAACGAAGAGAAGAAAGTTGTAGATGATTCACTGATTCATTTATTAATTAATTAACATCAATTCACTTTATTAACAAATTAACCCTAAAATATTGTACTTAATTCATGTAAATGAAAGAGTCTCAGCTGAGGATGTAAAGGGTGAATATGGGAATCTGTGAGTGATTTTGATCTGTGATACTTGGGCTTTGGGGTTTGAGAGGCAGGTGCTAGTAACATATTATACTGCTCTGAGCCATGTTAGAGCTTTCTGCCCACCACCGGTGCACCTGGATCATGCTGGGTGTGTGTGTACATGCAAGAGCTGAGATCCGGATACATTCTGATACATTCCTACCAGTAACATTTTGGTTTTATGCTTGCCATGGCAATAACATCATCATCATCATCTTCATTATCACTGTCACCATCAATGTCACCATCACCATCACCACATTACCACCATCATTATCACTACCACCACCACCACCACCACCACCATCTTCATCATCACAGACAACATCTCACTTAATTCTACCTGTATCAGATTGTTGCTTTTTAATTTTACTGGTAAAGGACTAGTCTCAGAGAGGTTAAGTTACACAAGCAATGCAATGCGGTTTGAAACACAGGAGATCAGCATTTCATTCTAGGAGGCGGGACCTCAAAGCCCATGACTTCAATTGTGCTACCAAGTTACTAGAGAAACACTTGGGAAACTGTGAGCTGAGACTAAAGAGTGATCAGCCTGAAACAGTACGACTGAGGTGGTTGTGGTTTTTGACACGTGTTGATGAATGGAGTTGGCTCCTTGCTCACCATGTAAGCTGCTTGGACCAATCACATACTATAGGCTATATGGAGGAGAAGCTGGGTTTTATCCCGACCAGTGGGAAAGGACTATCAATATCAGGGTCACCTTTAATAATGAACACTCCATAGAATTGTCTCTAGATGTAACCGACGCACACCTCTGCTGTCAAAAAGTCCTGGGTTCAAATCTTAACATTTACCAACTGGGCAACCATAGAAGAATCCATTTGAGCTTCCCTTTCATTTCCTGAGAATAACAATATGAATTCTTAGCTTTGCATTGGATAAAGTCAATGTCATATGTGGTGGGCCAAGAAGCACAGCAAAGAACTAGGGTCTTAGCAGGAAGATTACCCACAGGGGCCATGATTTGTATTTGTCTAGCTATCCTTTCTACCACTGGTGGCCTGAACATGCTTTGCTAACTGATAGGGATTCACAGGGTACTGTCAAGCTTCAGAGTTCCTTTAAATACAATGGAAGAATACGATCAAGAAGGGGCCATTATATGCAGCAGAGTCAGCTGCTGAAATCACAGGGAAAAGAAGAAATAATGCAACGCATGCATTCTGGGACTACTCCTTGGAAGGTCAAGGCAGGGATCTTAGTGTTTGCTTCTGTGAGAAAACAAGGTAAACTGAGTCATAAAACCTGCCATCTCCATGAGTCGCGGCAGAGATAATCTTAAACAGAGACTGTAAATTCAAATGCCAACCATGGGCAGATCAGGAACAGAGATAAGAACTGCCATGATCTGGGAAACATGGGAACTGGATTGGATGTCAGCCCTGGGCAAAGTCAAACACAGGGTGAGGGACTCCAAGACTTGTCACAGTTAATTGGAAATCTAGATTCTCATGAAAGATAACATGAACTGCTTTACCAAACAAACAAGCAGACAAAGAAACCCACATGCAATATTAAAAAGGCCAAACACAAAATATTAACAGGCCATAATGATTCCTAGAACTACCAAGGTATGTTGTGTTCAGTGCCAGATTCCAAGGGGTACTTTCCCACCAGAAAAGATGCTGTTTGTGTATGGGTATGTGTTCACATGTGTGTGTATATGTATATGTTTACACACATGTAAGTATGTGCAGGTGTGCATTTATGGCATGCATGTGGAGATTACAGGACACCTTCAGGATGTGGGACTGTTACTAAGATGCAGTTCTTAGTCAACCTACCAACCAACTAAGGATTAACCATGACTACCCAGATCCAGAGACAAAGACATAAAAGGTTCTAAGTGGGCTGGAGAGATGGCACTGATGATAAAATGTTTGCTGTGCAAACCCAAGGATCTGAGTTCAATCCCCTAAATCCATGTGAGAGCTCCTGTCTCAAACATAACAGAGGCTGATACCTGAGGAACATACTTGAGACTGTCCGCTGGCTTACACACACACAGGTGCATCTGCACACACTTGTGCACCTCCATACAGACACACACACAGATGCATGTGCACTTGCATACACATGTGTACCCCCATACAGACATACACGTAGGTGTATGTGCACCTGCATACACATGGGTATCCCTATACATGCACACACACAGGTACATGTGCCACTGTATACACATGTGCACCTTCTATACACACACACACACACGTATCCCCATACATACACAAGTGTATGTGCACCTGCATACACATGTGCACCTCTCATACATACACATACATAGGTGGATATACACTTGCACATATAGGTGCACTCCCATACATGCACATACACAGGTGCATGTGTCACTGTATATACATGTCCACCCTCCATACACAGACACAGACACAGACACACACACGCACACACACACACACACACACAGAAACACACAGACATAGGTGCATCCCCATACATATACATACATAGGTGTATGTGTACCTGCATACACATGTGCACCCCCCAAACATACACATAGGTGCATGTGCAACTGTATACATGTGAACCCCAATACATACACACACACATACATGTGTTCCTGCATACAAATGTGTACCCCCATACATGCACATACACAGGTGCACATGCAACTGTATATAAACGTGCACCCCATACTTACACATACAGGTGTACATGCAACTGTATACACACATGCACCCCTATATGTACACATACACAGATACATGTGCCACTGTATACACATGTGCACCTAAACACTCATGCACACATGTACACATACAGGAATAAGTTCAAAATATTTACTGAGAGAAAAACTGCAAGTCTGAGAAGCATCTGATTCTCTCTGTTCTTAGCTAACAAGAGGGATCCTTGAGCTCTTACACAGGAAACTGTCCTCTGGTTGTCTAAGATCTACCTGGGAGACAGGCCCCAGTGACAGCTTCCCGTCTCTGTGGTGCATTACCTTGCATTGTCCCGGCCATGTGACTTTAGGAAGTTCATATCTCGATATCTGGAAAGAAATGCTACCAGCTGGTCATTTGTCCTGTGGAAACAAACAGAAGAGAAAGTCAGGGTCCTCTGTAGGCCATGGAGGTATGGGGGGGTTGCTCCTTTTTTTAGTCCTAGGAAGCAGATTTCACTCTACTTTCCTGACTGCCTGTTCTGACCACAGCACACAGCCTGATGATGTGTCCTCATGTCAGGTCCTATCCCTGGACCTGTCACATTGCATGAAAACAGGCTGTGTTCTAGTTTCATTCTGGCTGCAGTGTGGTAACATCCCAGAAAGGGGCAATTTTGGAGAGAAAGGTTATCGCTCTGGTTATTGTCCATCAAGAAAGCCAGTGTAGCAACAACTGGGGACTGCTGGACATACCACACCCACAGCCAAGAGTAGAGACAAGTAATTGATTGTTATGCTCATCCTGGCTTCTCCATGGTTATACAGGTCAGGACCCTTACCCAGTGAACAGTGGCACACATATGGCTCTGGGTCTTCCCATGACAATTAACTTAATTCTGACAATGTCTGTCCCTAGATATGACACAAGCCAGCCCAATATAAGCAATCCTTCATTAAACTGCTTTCCCAGGTGAGTCTAGGTTTTGTCAGGTTTACAATTAAAGTCACAGGTTGTTTGTGCATCTGTTTCCCACATACTCTACTCTGCAGGGAACTCTGAGGACAAGCACAGTGTCTTATATGCTTCATTGGTCATGGTCAACAACAGTCATCAGTACTCAACCCGGTGTCATAGAGCAGACACAGGGCCTTTGCAGTTGCTGTGCCCAGGCCATTTTGTCCTCTCCATTTCTGGCTGTTCTTGTCATTTATGTTTTGCAAATGTCATTTCTTGAGACAGGTCTTTTCTGTCTATTCTATAAAAGTAGCTGCTGCCTCCTGCAACCCACTTTTATTACATCATGATGTTGACTTGACAGCCTTATCACCATTTGAAAGCACTCTCTTGGTTACCTTACAATATAAGGTCCACAAGGAAAGACTCTGGTCAGATCTGCTTATTCTTGGCACACAGTAGGGCTGACACTAATGTTTGTTGAATGAATGAATGAATGAATGAATGAATGCTGAAGGAATGTATGAGTTAAGATGAGCTGAGGTAGAACAAACTCCTTCAGTGCACAGAGAGCAATGAATGAATCCGAGTCCTTGATAACCACCGGGCTGCGGATTGAGCTTTAAAAAAATATGAACCGCCGTGCAAACGGATGACATCGTTCCCAGCATCGTTATCCCAAATTTATCACCATCAATCTCGGCGTTCACAGCGCCGTCACAGCTAATCAGCTTGTGCATACAGCTGTGACAGTATTTTAAAAGGCAGCCACACAGGTCTCCATCTGCCAGACATGCAGTCGCCTCTTCCACTGGGTAAACCCAAACAGGTAAAAAGGTGCTGATGTGACAGCTCCTTAGTCACCACCATCATGGGTTCCTCTGCTGGGGGAGGAGGGTGCTCCTTAGAGAGCAGGGGTTAACTACTCTTCCAGACTGGGTGAGGTGGGAAGAAAGAGGCTCTATGGGAAATACAAGGAGGCTGGACCCTTCTTTTTGAGTTGTGTGTGAGAGTGTGTTGCTTCTGTGTATGCGTAAGAGAAAGGAGGTCAGCAGAGAACCTTGGGTGTTAGTCCCTCACTTTCTGTCTTGTTCCAGGCAGGGTCTCCTGCTCATCACTATGTACACCAAGACTGGCTGGCCAGCGAGTTTCTCGGGAGTGTCCCATGTCTTTCTGTGGTCTCCTTTCACAGTAGAAGTGCTTAGATTATAGACGGTCACTACTCCTTATGACTTTATGCCTGTGCTGGAGTTTTAACCCGGTTCTCATGTTTGAGTAACATGTGCTCTACCTCTTGTGTATGGATCTCCCTAACACTAATGCTGGGCTTAAGAGAAGCAGTGTGGTATCTCAGAAAGCAACGTCTAAGCTCCAGAAGCAGAAGGATCTATAAGTGAATTCCAGCTGCAATGCCACAGCCCACCACGTGACTAAAGGATGAACAAGTCACTGGACCCTCTGAACAGTGGCCCTCTGTAGATTAATTTCCTCCTGGATGCTCACATTTAAACACACTGAGCACAAAATAAGTTCATCATACATTTTCACCAAGAGGATGGGTAGATTTAAGGGCACACAGTAGGTGCACATTCAATGCATGTTGCTCTGCTCTTCCCACCTCTTTGGTGCCCGGTCTGTACCACCTTCAGCCCTCGGCCCCTCTCTATTTCTTTGCCACTCTTCAACATTGTCAATATGAATCCACTCACTGGATGATGTATGTTGACCTCTAGATGGGTGGAAAATGGGAAGAACAGAGCAATTAAGACATCTGAGATGAAAAGAAATGTGGTCAATGTTCCAGCCTCTTACTGAAATAAAAACCAATTAGAAGCCAACCATACTGGGCTGGCAGATGCCTGAAGAGCCTCCTGTTATCTGCAGCCTGGTAAAAATCTATCGTGCAATGGATAAACCCAAAAAGCCAACAACTTTTGTGAGTCTGGACAGTGATAACCAAGGTGGTCAAGGTTCCTAGGTTCCTGTGGCCTGCTGTTAAAAAGGGCCTCCAAGAAGCTGCTGGGGTAAGCAGCCACACAATGACTATTAAAGAAAATCAGGCAATATCTTTCCTAGCTATTCGGAAGCCCACTCCATCTCCTCAGCCTCAGCCGTTCTTATTTACCAAACCCTTGCCACAGTCTGTGACAGTTCATTATTGTCATTCTGATGAATAAAAGGATAAGTTAACCTCTGAATGGGTCCCCAGCAGCAGGAATAATAAACAGGCCCTCTCAGGGAAGCTTAGGTGGGAGGATTGAAGGGGCCAAGGTCAGGCTCTAGGAGCCCCCTCTGGGAAGTCTCTGGCCTCCCAGGGTCAGCCTGCTGTGGCTCCATTTAGCAACCCCAGAAAGCATCTTTCAGGACTGGAGCTGGGGCCATTTTCGCATTTCCCGCTTCACCGGGTCCCTATCTGATGGGGATGAATAGGCATTTAGCGAATTTACTTAGCGATGCGATGCTTCCACATGAAAACTTCTCAAAAGATGACATCTTGGGGGGGGGGAGGGAGAGTGGGGTGGGGCTGAGAGTGGGGAGAGGCTGGATCCCATTGCATAAAGCCCCCTTTCAAAGCAAAGCCCTGTTTGGTGAGTGGGCTTGCTAGATTGGCTGGATGGGTGGGGTGAGGGGAACTACCACTTACTCCATTTGGCTGGGTGACCCTGTAGCTCCTTGCTTGCCCCCTCTTTGTAAAATGGCTGCTCTCTGGCCAGCCAATCCCTGCTCCTGTTCAAAAAGGAGATGGGATTCTGCTGGGGACCAACTCTCCCAATTGCTTCTCTCAGGCTTCTGTCAATGATTGCCTACATGTTTAGTTCATTCCAGATAAAGAACAGCTTGTGATCTGCTGACATTTTACCCCATTCCAGTCTTGCTGGCTCGCACCCCTCCCCCCACACTTTTCTTTTATAGAGCAGTTTTTCTCCACGTGGCTCCCATCACTCATCCCTGGGACCTGTGTAGCCAGATCCACCTTTCTGCTGACACTGATCACAGGCCAGTCTGTCTCTTGTTTGATTGCAGGTGCCCATTGCTGCAACTGTCAGGACCGTGGAAATATTTGCTTCAATACATAATATGTAAGCAAATGCTGAAACCAGGAGTGAATGCATAAGTAAGACAGTTGTAAAATGAGGCCACAAACCATGGCCATCCTTGGACATGCACCATGCTCTAGCTTCGGGACAGAGGCTTGCTGTGTTCTACCTCCTTTGATACTTACGAAGACGCCATGCCATGCAGTGAGTTTCACTCTCATCTGACAGACTGGTGGTTAGACTCAGAGACATTAGGTCATGAAGGAAAGTACAGAACTAGGCTTGGGACCTGGTTCTGATGTTACAGCTGGTGCTCTTGATTAATAGCCTGCTCTGCAAAATGACAGAGAGTGAGTGGGAGGATGGGTGAATTCCATTCCAGGAGCAGAAGAAAAACTACAGGGTGCAGGAAGGAATCATGCTTGCAGCCTGGCCTGCAACCTGGAAGCCACTCTGAGAAACACTATACTTGGGGCTGGAGAGATGGCTCAGTGGTTATGAGCACTGGCTCCTCTTGCAGAGGACAGGGTTCTGTTTTCAGCACCCAGCACCCATATGGTAGCTCAGAACTACCAGTTACAAGGGATCTGAGTCCCCTTTCTGGCCTCCACAGGCACTGCATACATGTGGTACAAACATATACAGGCAAAACACTCACTCATACACATAAAATAAAAAATAAAAAGATCCTTAAGAGAAAGGAACACTGCATCTCAAGCCTCACCCAGGACCTATTGAGATAAACTGGACTTCTTTTCCCTTCTTGAATGTTCGTGTGTGTGTGTGTGTGTGTGTGTGTGTGTACACTGTATGGAGGTCAGAGGTCAGCCTTAGGTGTCATTTCTCTGGCACTGTCCACCTTGCTTTGGTTTGGTTTGGACAGAAAGTCAATTATCTTGGCCAGTGAGCCCCAGGGATCTGCCTGTCTTCATTTTCACAGTGCTTTGATTACAAGCACTCGGCACCACGTCTACTGGGGCTTGAACTCAGGCCACAGCAAGCACCTGACCTACTGACCCACATCCCTGGCTTGAGAACAACGTGACTTCTGGGGCTTCCGGGTGATATGCATGCTCTTGTCAAGTTTGAGAAGCTCTGCTCTGCTGCGTATGCAGATGGGTGACTAGTCTCTTCCTTCTGCTATCTGCTCCCTGTGGGCCTTTCTAGAATGCCCACGCTTAGAGGAGAGTTCCTTTCATCTTCATGGGGCATAAACCTCAGGTGCTGGATATTAAATAGAACCATGCATGTAAGACCTCTACGGTAGCAGCTGGTACAGGGTAAGTCTTTGACAAATGTTAGCTGTCATTTAATAGTCTCGTTGCCATCTGAAACATCAGGTATGTAAGACATTTTGATGCAGAGAAAGCAAGGGAAGGGCCCAACTCGCCTCCAACTTGGAGGGCTCTCTGTCCTTAAGACCCACA